GGATGGGGCAGCCACAGCTTCTCTGGGCAACCTGTGCCACGGCCTCACCACCCTCACAGGGAAGAACTTCTGCCCAAGAGCTCATCTCAATCTCCCCTCTGTAAGGTTAAAGCCATTCCCCCTTGTCCTGTCCCTACAGGCCCTTGTCCATACCCCCTCTCCAGCTTTCTTGTCTTCAGCTTCCTTTCCTTTGACAGTGGGACTTCCCAATTTCTATGGTTACCTTTGTGTTCTATGCCCCCGACCCACTGGTGACAACGCTAACCTTGATCTTATCACAGGCCTACATGTTTAATACTCTTTTAAAGTCACTGGTCATTCAAGAAAGAGCAGGAGAGGTTTACCTTATCTATGATGTGCATCACGGCAGTAAGCTGCTCTTCTGTAGTTTCTGTAGCCACTCTGACATTCAGATTCTGGAGGACTCTGTGTAAAATGGTGTCATCAAGAGGCTGATGCAGTTGATCAATCAGCCCCCAGACTGGCAAGGAGTCCAAATCTGAGACAATGGTGATGTTAGCAATACCATACACAACATCTATGCTGGCACCACCTGTGGGATTAGAAAGTACAACCTGGAAACGTTTAGGAAATGGGTTTAAAGATCCTGTCTTTGGAGTCAGTGTCACATCCAGAAATGCATTTCTCTGTCCAGGTTCAAAAGTCAATAAACCTTCAGATCCGGCAAAATCCTGTCCTGCCACAGCTGGAGATACGAATGTCCGACCAATAGGTTCAGGTTTTTGTAGCTCCTTAAAACAAACCAGAAGAGGCTTAGGTAAAATTACGATAGATAAAATTGTTCAAAACTAGCTGCTGTAGAACACACACACTTTAAAAAAGAAGTCCTCTTTCAAAATGCACTGAAGAATGATATAACTACTGCATTAAATGAAATGCAACCTGTCACTTGAAGTCAGTGACAACCTAGGAAAAGAATCATATATATTGTCAATAGCAAGCACGATCCCTCTCTTTCTTTTCCCCCCAAAAAAATCACAAAGTTCTGGATGAACAGATATTACAAAAATGTTAGCACATTCATAATGTGAATTATGGAGGGGTTGATGTAGCTTGTGTCTGCAGCATGAACTCCCTCAGTTCAAGGTACAGACAGGCATCACAGATATGCAAAAAATAAACAAAAGCAGAGGATATGTTTTGGAAATCTGTGCCTAAATTAATACATAATTCATGGTATTTTCAGTCCCAGTGTAAATAATTAAAATGAGAACAATCCATTTTGGTCCAAAGGTAAAAAAAAACACTAGAGAATTCACATGCAAGGCAGAAAGATGAACTTATTTAGGAATGCTAAACAGCATCATTTCCCTGTGACGTAGCACTTTTTTTACCTTCCATAGGGTTTGCAGATATTGTTTCATTCTTCACATTCTTGCTCTTTTTTGTCAGTTTCCATAACCTTGATATTATATCTGGTAATGTAATAAACTTCGCTTAAGTGGAAACTAACATTCTGGGCTATTACTCAAATGCATGATTTTTCTGTTGTACCTATTCATTTAATAAGTACAAGTATATACTGACTCTTAAGTAAAGCTCTCCTGCTGTAAAAAATTAGGATTTTTATTCGTGAAATACTAGAATTTTGTAAACATTTAGCTTTAATTAGTAGAGTTTACTTATAGAATAAATCAAACATTTTTGAGTTCACAGAACTTGGTAAATCAGTGGAGTGTGTATCTGTTCAAAATTGTTCTAGCACATAATCACATCTTCAGTGCCAGTTTCAATGAGAAGTCTCCTTTTGTTTATCCCTTCCAATTGAGAATTAGGAAAAAGGAAAATAAATGATAATAAAAGCACTAGCGACAAGAACAGTGTTTAAGAAACCTTTGTAAGAATGATGTAAACATCTGTTTCCAGTTAGCCCTCATACTTCCTGTCTGCTGTGACCTCTTATTTTACAGGTACCAATACTTCGGTACTTGGCCATGCATCCTCAAAATCTAAAACTGTCCAACTTTAGCCTAAATGTACACTGGACAGCAGCAATTTCTTCTCCACTTAACATAAATTATAATGAACTATTAGCTGGAAAGAATGTGAACATTTGTTACTACACAATTTAGCTAAAACACTGGCAAGCTACTGTAGAATAAATGCATGGAAACACCATGCAAACCTATGTAGTGAAAATAGTTATGTATGCAATATAATAACAGAATGCAAAACCTTTTAAAATAAAGCGTGAGCACACTGGTCACAAAATGCTTTGCTATAAAAACCCTCCCCAGAAATAATGCTTTTAGGCATAAAATCCCACATATTCAAAGTAGATCAGACTAAGCACTATTCCAATGCGATACAGAACTTGGAGGAACCCCTCATACAGCCAGTGCCTAAACCCTTGAGGTTGGGTTTACAGCTATAAGTGGAAGGAATAATGTTTTTGCAGCTGTGTTATTTCAGCTAAAGGAGAATCTTCATCATCTTTCAATAATTATGAGGTACTTGTTAAGAGATAAAAGGTTCAACAGTTAGTAGTACCTGATGTTACAGCTGTAAACACAACAGAATTGAATGGGGATGATAAAATTGACTCTACCACACTGCATTTTCAATCAGAAGAATAATTGTCAGGTTTAGTACTTCAAGAACATGGGATAAAATTTGATGAAAGAGTCTTTTTTCTTAAATGTGCTCTGTGCATTAATAAATTTGTGACCAAACAGTGTGTTGGTATCTGAATCTTGCAGTCATACCCATCATGATAAAACTTAACTTCAGAGAAAGAAGCCTCAAAAAAATTGGAGTTTCATAAGAAACTTACAAAAAAGAAATGTATTTAAGCCTGACTGACCATGGTCTTTCACACTCCTGGAAGGTACTATCAACAAAATCACTCGACAATGCAGTGAGAACAAGGTCTTTTCACTAATGGAAAACCAAAGAAGCTAGACCATATAGGCCCAGCAAATATTTGACTGTTTCCTGAAAAAAAAAATGCTAATTACAGTAACATTTACTTTAGAGAATGAACAATGATTTAATGATACAAATAATAATAAGTTAAATAATAAAAATAATAATAAAAGTCCTACCTGCGTTCTGTAGCTAACCGTTGTGGTTACTGATGTACTAGAATCTCTGAGCACTTGCAGACTGATTAAAGTTGTCTTCCTATAAGCCACAGCAAAACGAGATCCCACAGCAAAATATACTAAACCATGAGGAGCATCACTTTCAAGAACTTTTATAAAAGCAAATCTGGCACTGCTGTTCAATGCGGCTCCTGTGCTCACAGCATACAGTTCAACAAAAAAATATGCTTCAAATTCAGAAACCTGTAAGTGAGGTGTAATGATTTTCACATCATTATAAGACCTACTAACTCCTTTCACCTTCAAAAAATGTATGTATTATTTTGTATGCACAGTGGATTACTTGTACTGACACTTACACAAGCTTGCTTCCTGAAACATGCAGTAAGTACAATAAGTACATATCCTGAAAATAATATTGCAATCGGTAACACTCTTCACGTACAATAATAAAATATCAGGTTTTCCCATGGGACTTAACTGCAGTAAAGTAGCTATTTATATACTACATGTATTGTGGCTGTAAATCTGGCATAACACATGACAGTAAACTCTCAAATAGCTCCATATTCCAGATTATGCATCTGTGTAGATGTACATCTTGTGAAGAATTTGCTTTTTCATTTTCTTTGCCTTACAAAAAGGCATGTACACACCTATCACCCATGGAAAAACTGCACAGAAGTCTAAATGTGCAGTTTTGAAACTTTAAGTAATTAACTTGACTGTATTTGAGTATCAAACTCAGGTAAAATTCTGAAAACTTTATGATTTTATATACAGTCTTAGTGTTTAAACACTAATATGTTTATGCATTTTTTTCAAGCAAACCTCAGTAGACTTGAATGCTTAACTGAATTTATCGAAAATCATAAAGCTTAGAATTATGATCTGATAGTCAGTTTGGAAACCAGGGTATTGAATTCTAGTGTTCAAAAGTCAAAGAATGAGTCTAGTCAAGCCTGCATTCATAATGCTTGTTGGCTGAAAATACTGTAGCAGTATTAAATTACAGTATGACATTTTGCTTCATCCTTGATTTTGTACCTAAAATACAAACATAACATGTTTAGAAATAGATGTGTGATTACTAAGATTCCAGAAATCATACAAAATATGTTATCTGTACCTATTACACACACTTATGCAGTGGTAAACTTGCCAAAAATTTATTTTTTCACAAGACAATAGTATTACAAAAAAAAAAAGATCACTGAAGACAATTATTTTATTTCTTGTTTTAATAAACATAGCTTTTTGTTTCAGCTCTGGATTTTTGAAAATCTTACTGCAATTTTAGGAAAGCAGGATTTAGCTCTTAGCTAATACAGTCAGTACAGCTGACCAAGTAAAAACGTTCTAGTTAAAGCTAGAATATACCACAAGAACATAAAATATTTATTGTATGTTTTTATGACTTCATCATTTTATAACATATTTGTTACTAATTTATAAGCTGTCTTATGGAAGAAGAACTGGAAGAAAAATTAGGAAATACTTGGTGGGTTAAATAGCGTATGTTTTTAATTGAGTTGTTGTTAAGAAATTCTTTAAATGGAATTATCTTGACTAACTGATGACAGGAAAAAATTTACTTGAATGCCACAGGGAACTTTAGCCTTCCATTAGCACCTATTAGAATAGCGCACGCTTACGCTTCATGTGACACAACTGCATGTCTCTGCAGCTGCTGCACTGCTGTCATTAAATAATGATTTCACTCCTTTAGACTAAATGCTTCAAAATCCCAGTTTAGCCAGAGTTTAGTCTATGCCCCATCATATATATTATTCACTAGCTCTGTGATGTAAAAATAACATCTGGAGATGAAGAAGGAAAATAGCCCTCTTCCTGAATTCAGAGAATGCACCCTATTCCCTAGTGGGAAATCACTATTTCCCACATCCTACATCTTGCATTATTTTCTATAACGTAATCAGAAAAAACGTGGAAACCTTCTCATCTTGTCCTTTTCTATTCCACAGATCTCAGCTTTGCCACTAGCCTGTGGCTGTTAAGATAGATAATTTCTTGGAAAGCTTCAATCTGTCCAATATGAAAGAATGGCAAGCTTTAATCCTTCCTTTCTTAAGGGACTGCCCTAACCCCTGAGTGTTCCCACAAAAGTATTTTTTTTCCTTCTCTTTTCAGTAAAAATGACTGAATGCTGTGCTTTGTGTTAATTCAACGATGTCTGCATTTCTGAGTGCCATCTGGGCCTCTTGAGGATCTTAGGCTTAGGCATACCCCACTGACAAACGCCAAACAGCTTTAGTGGATGATGGCTGCTAAATTGAACTTCGCTGCTCACAAGGTAGATGTGCACAATGACAGATTTTTATGCACCTTTATGACTGAGCAGAGTTTTCACAGATCACTGTGCTAGATTTAGGCATGTAAAATCATGCATGAGCTGCAATAAAAGTTTTTTTGTTGAATGAGATGTTATCACTTACAGGACATGCTTTCTGTAAACCAGCCTAAGAAGTGCTTTGATAGATGAAAGGTTTGCTAAGTAAAGATGCAAGTCCGGTACCTGAATATGCAACTCACTGAAATAACTCCTTAACTTTTTTTTTAATTGTTCTATAAAACTCTGAGACCTGCAATTACTCTTCAAACTAAATACTCGTCTCCTTCCCAATTTTTTACCGGTCGTAACAGTGGTAATACAAGCCTGTAAATAAACACCTGTTTGCAGAAGAACATGTGTTTGCAGGCATCATGTTACCTTATTCGAACTGCACGTCAGATCCTCTGGATCAGAGAAGATACTCACCTTGACAAATTGCAGTTCAGCATCATAGTGCTGGACATAAATGAGCAATAATTACTTACATTATCGGGTTTTACTTCAATGGAGATGTTGCATGTTGTTTGACCTGCCATGCAGGTAGTGGCTCCCTGCACAGATACGAGCTCATTCTCCAAGTTCATGCCATCCTTCAGAAGGACGACAGCTGTTTTATTAAATGTCACACGCCAGAAGATCTTCACATCTTCAAAAGCCCTATAAGCAAATCAAAAGAGCATACATGTACTGAAGAAGGAAACATAAACCAGAGGTAACACACGTTACTATTCAGAACTTACCACTAGCAACAGACCGCTTTAAGATGAAAACACCTCTCTTTTTATTTAAACTCCTTCCTCTAAAATCTGTTTCAATTGCCAGAAAGTAACAGAGGAAGAAAACATAGCAATTACAGGCACACAGATCCTTCTCAATTTTTGTTTCAGAAAAATGAGATTAGCTGAACAAAAGACACTGGTGTAACCATGTGTCTACAAAACCAGGAAGAATTTGTCTTTCCTATAAGCTTCAGGAAGTTAGTGTACTTGAGCATATCTGTTTAAAGAACACAAATATGCAACATACATATGTTAAATAGAAAAAAACATAGGATCTGTGTGAGTGAAGACCTAAGTATAGTACTGACTTTTAATTGCTCATTTTAGTATTCATACCTATTTCTATTACATAGGGAGATGAGAATTTGACTTACAACTTTAGCAGTTTTATCATAAGCAAAGCTTTCACATTTACTGTCTAATGGTGTAAGTTAGAAAATACTTGTTTTTTTCCATTTCTGATTTATACAAGTACAATGACAGACCTAATCCCATTCACAACTTAAAAGCCTATTTTCCAAATTCTGGGAAATTATTAAAGGAGGCAAAAATCAAAGATTTATTATAAAATCCTATCATAACCTCTTCCACTAACAGCAGCATATTACAGAGCGTTGGAAGAGCACTTGAATCCACTTTTGCCTGTACCTGTTTGGTTGCCTTGTGACAATCAGCAGCACCTCTCTGTTTTCCGAGTCTTCATCAAGTACAAGACCACTTTGTACTTCTGGAATGAATCCCAAAATGCCATTCTGAAGATCACTTCCTATATAGGAAACAGTCCATGAAGGTAATTAGCAAGAAAGTTAAGATGAGGCTAAATTATAATTTTAATACAGGTAACTTAAAAAAAAAAAAAACAACACAAAAACCCTGAGTATCAAAAGCATGCTGCAAAGTACCACTTGCGAATGCCTCAAGCACATTTCTTTTGATATTTCTATTCTTAATTTACAGTCCATATTTATCTAAAATTTCAAACATTGGCATTTCTAAATTTTATTCTAACCAGTAGAATAAGTATTTTTTAAAAATAAATTCCTTATAAGAGTGCTAGCACCATTTATGCACATAAGCTTGTATTTTCAGAAGCATTTAGGAAACTGGCTGAATTCTGTGCCCCTTGACTTCAAGAGATTAGGTGTTATAGTGGTTCAGAATATTGTCAAAAGTCTTGCTTATAATGCGCTTATGAGATACATACTGGGGAGGAACTCTCCGTTAGGGACTGTAGTGGTAGGACAAGGGGTAATGGGTTTAAACTTAAACAGGGGAAGTTTAGGTTAGATATAAGGAAGAATTTCTTCACAGTGAGGGTGGTGAGGCACTGGAATAGGTTGCTCAAGGAAGCTGTGAATGCTCCAACCCTGGAGGTGTTCAAGGCCAGGCTGGACAGAGCCTTGGGCGACATAGTTTAGTGTGTGGTGTCCCTGCTCATGGCAGGGGGGTTGGAACTAGATGATCCTAAGGTCCTTTCCAACCCAAACCATTCTATGGTTCTATGAACTTCAGCCATATTATTTTATATTTACCGTATTATGTTTAGGACAAGGGGGAATGGCATTAAGCTGACAGAACGTAGATTTACATATTGGATCTTAGGAAGAAGTTCTCTCCTGGGAGGGTGGTGAGGCCCTGGCACAGAAGGCCAGAGAAGCTGTGTCTGCCCCATCCCTGGCAGGTTGGATGGGGCTTGGAGCAACCTGGTCTAGTGGAAGGAGGGGCTGGAACTGGAGGAGCTTTAAGGTCCCTTCCGACCCAAACCAGGTTGTGATTCTATGATAGCCCTTAAAATATATTCTTTCTAAAGAGGAATGGGCCTCAGCATTCCCCTAGATGGACAGCATTGACACAGCAGATTATAGGATAAAGATGAGATTCCAAGGATATGACCTCAGCTTTCCTTTCATCCCACCCATAATTTATTTTCCCAAATTGTTACATCAGCTTTTCTCCTGCATCTTTAATTCAGTGTGTGGAACTAGGGAGCTCCAAAATACTTCATTGGTCTCAAGGGAATGTAAATAACTTCAGCAAAACAGCAGTAGAGATATTAAAAAATAACCCAGAGTTAATGAGGGGAAACTAATGTCTGCACAGTGTTCCATTAAATCTTGTTTGTAAAGGATTTCTCCTTACAGGTAGTGATGGCTTTACTCTGCAATTGAAAAGGCAATCTACTTCCGACCCAGTGCTTATTAAATGTCAATATATACACTGAAGATTAACAGAAACTGCATTTTTGCTAATGTGCATGCACAGATACTTAACCTGTGCTATCTTTCTATACGGTTAAATGCAGATACATGCTTTGACCTTTGTGCTCAACATAAGTTGTCTCCCAATCTTACTTTATGTGCTCATTGTACTCAGGATGTAAATCCAGAGGATGTTAATACACTTCTGTGGGATTCAATACAAATTCAAATTCCAACCTGTGCCTACGCACATACTTCTTTGGTTAACTTGCACGTACAGGACACTGTACTTCACATGAAGGGAACTTGTGTTTTATACAGTCTGGTTTTGCACACAGTCTTGGTTGCTGCATACGCTCATCCAACAGCACAGTTTCATCCTGGTTCTCAATACCTACCTTGTTTTGTTAAGACTATCTAAATACACAAAACTTCAGTAAATGCTGGACCTTACATGTAACTTTCTTGATTAGCCTGAACTGTTCCAATTCCCAACTTGTTTCTAAAACTTGAGCTATATTGTAGTTAAACTTGGTTTATATTCAATTATTAAGTCTGATAGATATCTGAAAGATAAGTGAAACTGGAGGTTGGACATCACTTTCTCACAGTAGCATGCAGTGACTGAAAGAAAAATTCTCCCCTGATGTCTATGCAAGCCCATTTCTACCCTCTATCCTCAGAAGCAGAGGGCTACACTGCAGATATGAACTTCATAGTATTAAAGAACAAAGCCAGAAACTGCTTCTTATACTTCGTACAAACCCCATACAACATAAAACTGAAAAAATCATGGAATCATTAGGGCTGCAAGGGAACTCTGAAGATCTTGTAGCCCAACCCCCAGTGGCAAAGAAATGGCAAAGAAAAACAAAAAAGCCTGCAAGGCTTACATCTGTAACAAAAACACTCAAGTTTAGTTTTTGCCTTCCTGAAGTAAAACAGGACAAGAACAGAGACAAGCAGCATCTATAAATATATGCTGAGTTACGTTGCTAAGGGATGCATGGTGGGCTTGGTATGTTAGATGCTTCCTCCCTCCGATCTGGAACTCAAGATTTGGGATTAGAAAACCCTGATTATCATAAAATAGAATCCCTATCTTTACATGAAAATTGGTATTAGAACATACAGTTATTTACTGTTATTTAACTCAGATGTACTTACTACTTTTCTGGGGGAAAAAAATATTACCTGCAATAATAACTGTTGCAAAGGCAGCAAATCCATATTCATCCTTTCCTTCCACAATCTGAGCTCCACATTCAGGATTTGAGAGGAAAACATAAAACAACTCCTGTCCTTCAGGCTCACTGTCATCAAAAATTTTAATGGACACATTGCTTTCTCTTTCTCCATCCAGCAAAGTCACAGAGACTGACTGCTCCTCAAAATCTTCTCCTTCCATTGCCCATGTGAAGTCTGATTTCCAAGCATTTCCAAAAGGATATGAATCTACTCCACTCTGTGCACTCACTCCCCCAAAGGTTTTAACAGTTACTTCAATATCACCAGTAAACCCCTTGGTCCTTCTGATATGAAGTACCACTGTGTTGGGGGTAGTGTTGTTTGCATCTTCTTCCACATAAGTAAACTCTGGCCCCAAACTTAGTATTCCATGAAGAATATCATTAGCCAGGATATTAATTGTTGCAACACTGAAAGCTGGATTCAAACGTGGACTCCAGGCAGGATTCACAGGTTGAACATCCAAAATTTCCACAGCAGTCAAATTTACAAAAAAAACCTCATCCATTTCAGAGATGGTATCATCTATTACTGATATTTCTATCACAGCACTTATCTGAAAGCGTAAAATTATAAGCTCTCCATTGTAGATGGGTATAAAGTCCTCGAGTGGTTTGGCACTTCCTGGAATGGTCTGATACATCAATTTAGTGAGATTACTTTGAAAACCAAACAGTCTTTGGACATGTAGTGTGACTGTCTGAACATCTTCTTCAACTGATACAGATCTTGAGTTAGGAGCAAACTGGAATATCCCCATTGGCTCAATTTCAGCTATAGTATATCCGGATCTGAAAGAGAAAAGATAGTAAAGTTGAGAGAGGAAATATGAAGTTTGAAAAATAAAATACCCAAGCAGAATCATTTGCAGTGAACAGTCAGTGATGGCTGTAACAAATGTGTAACAGTAGAGGGAAGCAATAGCAAAAATAAAAAGCAAGATCCAAAGACATTCCATTTTTGCAATGACTGGATCAATCAGTTGTCCATAGGCTTGATGCATCCTGAGTCAGCACAAGATACAGAGTAAAGGATAAATAAAATACAGTCTTCCTGAGAAAATGGAGAGGCAAAGGAAAGTATGATGTCTTTCTATTGTGGACACAATGCAGAGAGACATAATACAATACAGCCACTCTGAGTAATACCAGTTTTAACCGCTGAACAAGCTTCCTGTAGCAAGGGAAAACTGTGGAGCAGACAGATGCTAGCAGACCTTCAGCTTTAGCTAGGAACCAACAAAAGGAAGGGAAGTTATTTTAAGATTTACAGTAGGGCTTTGAAATACTAACTGCCCCCCATATTACTAATAGTAATTTTTACCAGATCTGAGCCCTATTATCAGTATCCATTTAAGCTCAACTTTATTCATATTAAATATATTTCCTTCCTAACAACATAAGCATAGACACCAAGACTCTTTCCTAAACCTTGGGTCTTAGACTTGTCTTTAGAACTGACCCAGAATTCAGTGCTAGCGACTATCAAATGGCATTGCAATGCAGCGAGTGATCTTCATTAACAAACTAGACCCCCCTTCAACTACTTCAAAATATAGTCTTCAAAATAATAGTCAGCTTTACCTCCTGTGCTAGGTTTTTAACAATAAAAGGGATTTTATATAAATCTTGTATTTTCAGAGCATTTCTTGTTTTATTTTAAATAGTGTTTGTTATCTAAGACCTTCTAAATACTGATTTTTAGGGACACTAATGAAAACTGCTAGAGTTGCTGATATTCTTCAGCTTCCTGGCTAAAACTTGATCTTGGTTCTTAACTGTCTCCATCATTCTAGACACATTCTAGGTACGTTGGATCCCAGTGATATAGAATAGACTGGAACTGGAGAAAAGCCTTCGTTCTGATCAGGTCAAATCTGCAGCACTGACACTATTTCAACCTGAGACAAGACATACAAATTTATCACAGAAGGCACAACCTGCTACCTACCTATAATTTAATAGGCATTTGTATGAGGTGTATGCCTGTACACAGGTTGTAATTCTTACAGCATCTGTGCAATGCAAAAGTAATATCCTTACCTGAGGCGAGCCCCCCCAGACACATTGGTGTGCACTGCTGTTAAAGTGATGGCAAATGACTCATGTTTGTTTAGGCTTGGAGTAGCTTGAAATGAAATTACTTTACTTTGCTCACCAGAGGAAAATACAACAGTACCTGAAGGAAAACAGAGAGTGAGAGAGCACAAGTCAAAGTCACTAGATAGAAATTGTCTTTAGGTAGGCACTTTAGACACGATTCCATGCCATTTAGGAAGAAAAATCCACACGATAAAGCTGTCCATCAGGGGCACAGCATTGTGCCTGCCTCCCAGACATGTCTCCATGAAGTTTGGTTCCTTTTTTGCTCATAAATCCCTCACAGATAAAAAATTAGACCATACAATTTCATTCTAGTAACTTTTCATTAACAGAGGAAGCATGTGTAGGTACAAATAACTAAAAGGTGGAATCATCACTTACGCAACTTTCATAGCTGTTTCCTTCCTCGGACAAGTACTTACCAAATGGAGGAGTAATATTGCCGGGCTGAGCAAAGTCAGTGATTAGGTCTGGTGGGTATCCTGAAATCCAGCTAACTGTTACAGAGCCATAAACTCCTTTTCTGGTTATGATAGCCTGGCCTGTCCCTGCTACAATGTCTACGAGTCGTAAAACCACAGATTCAAAGCCAACCTGTGGAAGCACAGTAGAATTTGTTATAGAATATGAAATAAAAACTAACAATAACATAGGTGAAAGCATACTATATTTTGCAAAATAAGCATTTTAAACAATAATTATGCATGCATACAGAGGTATGTATGTACATATATGTATCTATATGTGTATATATGCATATATGTACGTGTGTATATACATATATACGTGTGTATGTGTGTGCATAAGTATATACACACGCTTCCTTCAGAACTATTTAACAATACTTCTAAATCTTAGATTTCTGAGATTTACATCTCAGGGAAAAGGAACCAGTATGACATTTCAGCACTGAAAACACTGGATGCAGCATTCTGTGTCTGTTGTTGCCCTTAATGCTCCCAGGCAATAGCTGTAACACTATATATATATAAAATATATATATATATATATATA